GTAATTGAAGCCCAACGTTGACAAGAGGATGCAATTAACCTGATAAAAATCAACTTTTGCAACGTAATAACGTGTAATTTTTAATTACACCGGAATTACGACTTCTAGAGTCAAATTGTTTTGGAGTAAATCATGAAAAAAAAGGAACAAATTTTCGATACTACTGAACTACAAAACATACCTTTGGGATCGATACTCGACAATTCCACAGAACTTGAAAAAAAAAAAGAAATTTGTCTCTCACTGAAAAATTTCCACTATTTTAATTTTTCTCTGCTTCATCACTCGCGGAATACTGGACGCGCGCCTCTTTTTTTTTTGGCAGGCTTCAGAGGAAGAGAGAGTGAGAGAGGATTTTGATTGAAGGGGAAAGTAAAAAAAATGACAAGAAGGGACCGATTAACGATATGGAAGAAAATTGATAATTGATAAAATGGAAGAATTGAAGAATGGGAAAAAAATTAAAAACAAATATGAAAACGAGAGAAAAAAGAGAAAAAGAGAGGAAGAGACAAATAATGTTTCAACAAACGACAACTATAAGACACTGTCAAAGCCGATCAGGTTCGAGTACAACTAAAAGCCAACGAGTGTGTTTTCAGGCTCGTACTTCTTTGCTCGAGTACCACGCCTGCGTTCGACGCAATGCCGGGCGTTCGTAAACCAACGACAGCTACCGAAATATAATTATTCTTCCTTGAATTTATTCCAAAATTTAATGTTTTTCCATAATTTGTGATTATTTCTAAAAATTCGAATTAATTTCTCTTCTATTATAAAAAATTTTCAATCCTAAATCTGAAAAAATCGAAATCTTCGGAAGTAAAAACATAATTTCCTATTTAGGGATAGATCTAAATATAGAAAGAAAGAAAGAAAACGAACAAGTCAAAAAGAAAGAACGATTTTTCAAATAAGACAATTCCTTCCAATTTCTCTCAAATTTCAAAGCCTTTCGCAAAAAAAATTCAAAACACTATTTGTAATAATAAAATAAAGAAAACAAAAAATAATTAAAACAATTCTCGAATTAAAAAAGAAAAATTATAATTATATTAATTAATAAAATTATTAATTAACTAATTATAATTGAAAAAAAAAACTATGGAAAAAATAGATTCCTAATTTTGTTACCCTATTATTTGCAAATTCTGTTTCTAAAACAGAATATATATCGAAACTCAATTTCCTCACGGATTTTCAATTTGGATATCCTTTCACGCAATTTCGAATTTCAATCAGAAAATTTAATTGCCCTGATATCCTGTTTGTCGATAATAATCCAACATCCATTCGCTGTCGCCATCCCTCGACGATCATGAGAAACACGCGAGATAGAAAATTATTTGCCTCGCATGATTTCGTCCTGCAAAAAAAAACTTCCAAACGAAATTTATATTAAAAAAAAAAACTAAAAAATATACTAAATATACTAAAATATAATCTAATATAAAATATTTATTCTAATTAGAATTCGTTATTAATATTTCAAAAATTAAGAATATTTTCCATTTTTTCCATTTTCGCTTATTAGAATATTTTTAAATTTATTAAATAATTCACATAATATAAAATAATAAAATATTTATTCTAATTAGGATTCCTCATTGATATGTCAAAAATTTGGAATATTTTCCAGTTTTTCAAATTTTTTTTTCCATTTTTGGAATATTTTTAAATTTATATTTATTAAATAATTCATCATAATCTAAAATAATAAAATATTTATTTTAATTAGAATTCTTTATTATTATTTCAAAAATTTTTAGAATACTTTCCAGTTTTTCAAATTTTTTTTCTCCTTTTTTAGAATATTTTTAAATTTATTAAATAATTCACATAATGTAAAATATAATCAAATATAATAAAAAATATCTACTCTAAGTAGAATTCGTTATTAATATTTCAAAAATTTAGAATATTTTCCACTTTTTCAAATTTTTTTTCCATCTTTGGAATATTTTTAAATTTATATTTATTAAATAATTCATCATAATCTAAAATAATAAAATATTTATTCTAATTAGGATTCATCATTAATATTTCAAAAATTTGGAATATTTTCCAGTTTTTCAAATTTTTTTCCCCTTTTTGGAATATTTTTAAATTTACACGCAGAGAAATGATTTATTTGAACCAAATAAAATATATTTGAGTTAAATAAACGTATATTTGTCTCAGAGCCTACTAACTTATTTATTTGGCGTAAATAAATGTTTTATTACAAATATACCATTTCTCTGAGTGTATATTTATTAAATAATTTATCATAATCTAAAATAATAAAATATTTATTCTAATTAGAATTCTTTATTATTATTTCAAAAATTTTTAGAATATTTTCCAGTTTTTCAAATTTTTTCCCCCCTTTTTCAAAAAATTTTTAAATTTATTAAATAATTCACATAATGTAAAATATAATCAAATATAATAAAAAATATCTACTCTAATTAGAATTCCGAGCCTACTAACTCATTTATTTGTTGCAAATATATTTCATTTCATTGAAATAAAAAATTTATTTGAGCTAAAGAAAAATTTATTTCTGACAAATAAAATTTTTATTTACGCCAAATAAATAAGTTAGTAGGCTCTGAGACAAATATACGTTTATTTAACTCAAATATATTTTATTTGGTTCAAATAAATCATTTCTCTAGGTGATAGAATATTTTTAAATTTATATATTAAATGATTCATAATATATACTCTAAAATACAATCTAATGTAATAAAATAAAATATCTATATTCTAATGATGATTCCTCATCAGTATTTCAAAAACTTAGAATTGTTTCAATTTTTTTTTTCCTTTTTATAGAATATTTTTTTTAAATAATTTTGAAATTTATAAATATAATTTTTCGAAATTTAATAAATTTTTGCAAAATATTTTTCAAAATCAATAACAGATCGTTATACTTTTCAAAAAAAAAATAAAAGAAAAAAGTTTTGTGATTGAACAAATATCAAAACAGGAAGTCAGTTATGATTGCTTGAACAATCAGCCTAATTGATGAAACCGACCATCTGTAACGAGATGCTTCGTGTATATATTCTACCTTCACGACGAGTCTTAAACATCATATTTGTTTCATTATTTTTCCCTGTATCTCAATCATCACGCATCTTACCGACACGCAGTGTGTATTACTCCTACGAAGACAATTTAGTCTTCGAAACAAAAAAAAAAAAAAAAAAGAAGAAAAAAAATTTGTTTTTTAATATCTCGCTCTTTAATCATGAATACCGATGATGATGATGATGATGATAGTAATAATTAAATTGAAAATTCTTGTTAATTTATCAAACAAGAAATAATTCGCAAAATCTGTTGAATATCTCATTTTTCATTTTGATAATAATTATTTATCGTTGGGAAATAATCATTATTTGCAAATTACATGGATATTTGTGCTTGTCTAATAAATTAATTAGAATATTGTATTAGATGCAATTTAATAAGTTATAATAAAGTGTAAAGTAACTGATAAATCTTCCGATATCTTTTAAATCGCTCGCTCGCTCGCAATATTATTTCTATATATACTATTTGCAGATTAACGTGTCTGATATAATCTTTGCCATTGAATGGCCTCGATTAAAACGAAAAACGTGATCGGAAACGGGCTTTCTCGTCCCTGTTATTAAAGCACTTAATAACCCCATTAAATCTGTTAAACAGATTTTAATTGTTTCAATCCAGAGTCTATCGGGTTTCAAAAGCGGCGAATTCTTCTATTTAGAAAAAAAAAAACTAGAACATACCTGATTTGAAATTAAAATTTTTAATTTCTATTTTTATTTATTATCGATTAAAAAAAATTATTTCATTTTACCAAAATTTTGATAAATTTATTTTTTTTTTGAATTTTTAAAATCTATTATAGTTGTTTATGATTTTTTTTTTATCATTTTCCTCTTAATCGCGATTAATTCTCCATGATTCAATAAATTCAAATATACCGGGAATAATAAAAATATTTATAACCATATATATTATAAATTGTGAAAGTAATTAAAGCGGTATTTTTTTTGCAAGGATTATAAATGCTTTTTTTGTTTTCTTGTAGTCATGAAAAGTAAATTAATTTATTCCTCGATGATCTTGGCAGCCTACGTTCTTTTACACTTTGTGATCAGTCATATATATCGTCTGCTCTAACGCTCATTATCGCATTTGATCTAGTTAACGAGAAGACTGTGTCAAGAATAAATAATCAAGACCTATAAACTTAATATCAGCATCAGGACATACAGTATTTTTAATATTCTTTAGTTGAATCAAATTTTGAATTTTTTTAAAAATAGCGATTTTATTTAAATTTTCAATTTTCAAAAACGGAATCCTATTTTTCAAATGATTTTTTCTTTTACTGCAGCATGAAACCCATTTGTCAATATATATATATGTTTGTTTGGAATTTAAGACGTTTTAAAATCGAGTCATAAAATGTGGTTGATATTGCATTTCAACTTGAGATTTACATTTTCATTACGTTGTTTATTCACTTTATTTACGTCCAAAGGGGCAATAAATTTACAAAATACTTTTTCTCAACGAAGAGGACCATTAAAAAAAAAGAAAGATTAAATAAACAAATTTTTACCGAATTATAAAATTAAATAAAAATTCGATTGAAAAATTAAATTTTCAATTAAAAAAAAAATTTAAGAAAATATTGATTTCATACACAATTCTTGTGTTCTCATTGTTGGGGAATTGACGTTATTTTCGTACACTAGGTGTGTCGTGAATGACGTCATTTTGTATATATATATATACAATATCGCACACGTTTGTTAAACAGACACAAAATTGTGTGGGATACCTTTCATGATTTCTTGTAATTCATGACCCCGTGTTAAATTTAATCAAATTAATGGAAATAGTCAATCATTCTTATTTTTATCTCCATTTAGATTCCTATTTTTTTCCATTTCTCTCAATGTAATAAGAAAAAAATCTATTTTTTGAAAATCGAAAAATTTTTTACTCACTCTGTATCAGGAACTGGAATCATTGAAACTGGTAGACGACCATTGTGATCCATAAAGTGATTATTCTCAGGTTCTTCTTGCACTGGAGTCTCGTACACAAGAGTTTCAACCATTGATCCTTTACTCGATCCAAAAGATACCCTACAAAAAAAAATTACACAATTAATTTTTATCATAATTTTCTCCTATTGAAATTAAAAAAAAAAATTCAAGGGCAGAAAAACGAAACTAAGATTAAATATTTTTCTTTAAAACTTTAGACGTTGGGCAGCCGCAAAAATACAGACACCAAACCTCAATTTCCTATATTGCGTGACTAAAACTGGACGCAGTGTGTCTAAACCGCAGAAAAGGTATCAAAATTGTAATCACAAGTTGATGATAGATCAAATTTCTCATGTCTGGTCATTGACCGAATTCGAAAGTTTGTCCTAATTAATAAAACTCTATTTTTATCGAAACAATAGTTACATTTTTTTGACTAATGATCTCAAAATAGATTCCTCTTTTTTTTCAATTCCCCTATTGTTAATTTTAAATTTCGCCTCGGTATAATTAAATGACAATGCAGTCTTTTTATTGAAACTAATTAATAATTGGTTTTTCCGTTTATAATTCATAATACGTCGTTGTATATCTTATTACAAAAAAAATGAGTTGTAAATCATTCTATTGAATGCACTCGTAAATTGATTCGATTTACTCCGTCATTTGTAACGAAGAAGTTGAGATTATTTTTTTCCATTTGAAATTCAAAAAATTGTTTCCTATTTTTTTTTTTTAATAAAAAATAACTGATTTTAAATTAAAAATTGAAATATAGATTTGGTTTGAATCTAAACTATATTGTCGAGCGTCAAGAAGTGCTGACACCTAGCGCGTAGAATTCATTTTGGAGCTGTATGGAAAGAGCAAAGATGTATATATATATATATAAATTGGATACTCAATGTGTCAAAGTCACGTGTACTGCCGGCATTTTAACTTTACTGACGAAGCATCAAAGACACGCTTACTATATAAATGTGTCATCATTGCTGACAATGATGTAACAATTTCCCACTCTCTTCTTTTTCACTTGTACAATAGTTGATCTTTTATTTAAGAGGCTTTATAATTATTATGCAATAAAACTTAAAAAAAAAAACCCCGATAGTTAGTGTTAATTAAAAACCAAGACTATTTTCTCGTTTAATCTATTTTTCAATTTGGATTGTTTTTGTAAACTAATAATTGATAATTAATAATTGATAATTGATAATTAATAATTAATAATAATAACTAACATCTAAAATAATCAAAAAAGAAAAACCAAATTTAATTGGAAAAAAAATTTCTAACGAATCTTTTTCAATTTAATTCATTATTTTGTAATTTTTAAAATTAGAAAAAAACTTAAGGGGGGAATATTTTTCTATCTTTTTAGTGTCCCTCAAAACTGTTTTGACGGTTAATTTTCAATTTTGACGTCATACCCTAAAGGAATAATAGTTAACGTTCGAGTGGGTGCCATATAGTACAGCTTCCGGAATAAATCGTCATCCTCTTTTGCGTATATATATATATATTTAATATACGATATTCAAAAATAGTCGGAGCGAGAAAAGTGTATATATCACTCGCGAAAATAGATGTCATACGCAGTTGTTTTGGCAAGACACGGTTTACATTAAAAAATCTAAACCGAAAAAAAAAATAATTCCGATATTTAAAAAAAAAACAACCTTGATCTTAACTCTATTTTTCGAATTCAAAAAATTTTTTGGACAAAACAATTTTTAAATTAAATTAAAATTTTAGAAATTTTTCCATTACTAAAATTTCAATTAGTTTTTTAATTTTTTTAAAAAAATTCATTAGCAAAAATAAATTATTTAGAAAAAAAATAATTCATAAAAAGTATATATTTTTAAAGAACATTGTTCTTAACTCTATTTTTCGAATGAAAAATCAGTTTTCAAAAAAGGAATTTTATTTAAATTATTTTATCATTATTTTCTATTGGAAAAAAAAAGTTTATCGATAAAGAAAGAAAAGAATAAAAAGCAAAAAGATAAATTTAGAATTATCCAAAGGTTCATTAAACTATCCACGGCGATAGAATATGACGGATCTATTTTCGTTCCTAATTTATTATTTCCAACTAGTTAGCCTCCAAATGTCTTTTTAATTAATCTGCTCCAAATCTGGAATTCTTAACCCAATAACTTTGTTATTGCTCATGAAAAAAAACTCCCTCTTTTAGAATATATATATATATAGTATTTTCTACGCGAGGGGAAATAAAAGAAAAAAACCTCAACTGATGTAATCGCAAGCACGCGTACATCGTATAGTTAGTGACCGAAATTCTTTGAAAGGCTTGCCTGGAATTTCAAGCAATGTTTGTGATTTAAAGTCCACTCAATTTTAGAACGTGATTCTTGTGTATATGCCTCATTGCGCCTTGACAGTGAACGACATACTGCTCCGATCGCGTTTCCCTCCTTTTTTTTTTTCTTTCTTTCTTTCTTTTCATTCTTTCACTCGCATTTAATTCGCGTGGTCACGCACGACGATGTGTGTGTGTTTTTTTTTCTCTCTCCACTATAATAATATGTGAATCTCATCTCTACTTGAAAGCAGACACGTGGGTGCACGTTTACACACCCAGAGTCAAATTGGAAAAAAGTCCTTCTTTGCAATCCCCGCAAAATGTCATCGTTTCAATTTCAACTGTCGGCGTTTTTCTGTAAATAAATTTTGTAATTTCTCCACGAAGGTGTGATTTGTTTTTCCTCATTTTCAATCTTATTTAAAATGCCGAAATTTTTTTTTTTTAAATAAAAAGATATTGAGAAAAAAATAAATTTGCAAAATATATTTAAATTTCTTAAAAACTTGGTTTACTTTATTTTATTAGAAATAATTATTAATCATTAATTAGAATTTTTCATTTTAAAAAATTTTATTAGAATTATTTTTTTTAGATGAATTTTCATTTTTTGATAGCATTTGACAAAAAATTTCTTATACGAATTTTTAGTTTAAAAAAATATTTAGCTACGGAATTTTCACAAGAATTTTTATTTTACAGTCATTTAATTTTTATTAATAAAATTTTTAATTAATATTAATAATTTATTTATTTATTTAATTAACAGAAATTCAAAATCGACGAATCTTAATTTGTCCGAATTTTTAATTCGCTAAATTTTCATTTGTCCGAAATTATAAACACCTAAACAAAAAATCGACAGAAAGATTTGTAATTTCGGACAAATGAAAATTCGGTGTCTTAAAAATTCGTACATTTAAAAATTTGGACAAATTAAAATTCGGTGAATTGGAATTTCTGAAATAAAAAATTTCTAATCAGATAAAATTCAAATTGAATGAAAATTCTGTTGAATTAAAAATTCGTTGAATTAAAATTCGCTGAAATCGAAATTTTTTTGAATTAAAAAATCATGTAAAGAAAATGACTGTAAAATAAAAATTCTGCCAAACAAAAATTCAGTAGCTAAAAATTTGGTTACACAGAAAAAAATATAAAATAACTTTTACTATAATTATAAAGTAACATCGAAACTTCGGCGCATTTCTGACAATTTTCGCTTCGGAAATAGAAAAAATTACTCCTGAATTAGTAAAGTTTACACTCCGGAATTAGTATTTTTTTTACTATTTCCAAAGCATTGCCACAAAATTCCTGACATCTTAGAATTTACTTTAAAAGGATTAAAAATTAAATTATTTTTGTTTTTCATTTTTCTCCGTGTATGTAAAAATTCGTATAAAAAGAAAATCTCTCAAATTTTAATTAAAAAATTGAAAATTCGCATAAAAAATAATTATTTTTAATACTTGAAAATAAAAATTCTAATTAATGATTTCTAATTTATGCGCCACGAAAAAACCTTTTCAACTTGAAAAAAATTGAATTTATAATAAATGAAACGAAAATAAAATATTAAAATATTAAATAATTTAATTATTCTTTTTACTAAGACTATAATTTAAGAGAAAGTTTGTATGAGAGATGAAAATTATGAAAACATGTGTGAAACAAATCTTTTCCCAAGATACTTCGATTTCATCCAATAATTACAAGTTATTTCAATAGTTATACAAAAATAGATACATTAAAATGATTGATAGATGAATTAAAAATCCAATTTTTTTTTTCTCAAAAACATTAAAAATTAGAAAACCAAGTTTATAAGAAAATTCGATTCTTAAATTGTGGATTAAAGTTTAAAACAAAAGTTTTCTTTCGCGTGCAAGGAAAATAATTATAATTTTAAAGGTTAAAACAATTTGGGAAATATTTACCTCTTGAGACTAGCGTGCTTTGCGCCATTGAGAATTTTATTTTTTCTCTCACTACCAACAGTACTTGCATCACTGTCAATACTATAGAGACTATCGTCCTTGGTGACTCGTGATGATGTATGGAGGGTTGATTTTCGGCCGGTACCATTATGCTTAGGACTCTCAATTGGTATCACAGTTTGTCCTTGAATTTGCATTGTTTGATGATGCTGCTGATGATATCGATCACCAGTACCATCCTCAAGTCTCGCCAATAATGTCGAATTCATTGTTCTATTATTCAAATCGACAGTTTTTTTTAACATCACATTGCTCGTATAATTTCGCAAATCGTTGTGATTTTGTATTTTGCCCGGCGGCGGTTTGTCCTCCGTTGGCAACATGTAGGATAACATTTTCACTTTTTATTAAATCTGAATCTGTAAATAAAAAAAAACAAAATCAGATTTCTATTTTATTTTTTTTTTGAAATAATTAAGGAAAAAAAAAATTATTTACTCTTAATTAAACGGTACTAAAGGTGTTTTTTAATTTATCACAATTACCAAGCCTTTTTTTTTAGAAACGAAAAAAAAAATACAAAAACAAAGAAGAAGGCAAATTAGAATACCGTTTGATTCAATTGCTTCATCATGATAAATAATGTATATTGTTTCAGATAAAATAAAGATCTTTATCAAAATTGAATATTCGAAATATTTCCAAGAGGAATCCATTCTTTTTGAATTTTGTAACGATTTTTAATAAATGTATATATATATTCAAAAGACAATACGGAAGACTAATAATAGCCGAGTCAGCTGATTTCTGTCAAAGATTCCAACACGCGAGATTTTCCCGTTGATTTTTTTTTTTCTCAAATATTTCCCGAGATTAGCTTTATTTTTGTAATTTCTTTAATTAAATTAAATTTTTTCAATTCTAGAATTTAGTTAAATTAGTTTTTTTTATATCTTATTTCAATTATTATATTTTCAATAAATAAATTTTTAAATCGAAAATTCATTTTTAAAAAATAAATTATTTTTAGTTTTATAAATGCGGTCAAATTTTTTTTTCATTAAAAACTCTCTTAAATAAAAAATCCTAATTTTTTTTAGGCAACATTTTTTTTTTAGTAAACTTACTGATTGCGGAAGAGACGAATGTTCGCCAGGAGAACGTCAAACCACAACTGGCGCGGCAACCGCGACGCAAAACCGAACCAAAGGTTATAATATACATACGAATGAATATGACCGGCTTGTTTTGAATATAGATATATATAAATATATGTGCACTATCAATTGACACGCATTGAACGACAATTACCTGGTGCAGATCTGCTAAATTATCGCCCATCCCTTCTCCGACCTTCGATATATATATTTATTTCATCATACGAAACACTTTTTGTATACAACACTAATGAAACGTTTACACTTTATGAAATCATCGACCGAAAAGTAGTCTTGTCATGCTTCTATGTAGACGAATAAAAAGCAGATGTAGAAAAAAAAACGATAAGATAATATTGTTTCGAGAGGGATTTAGTTATAATCATTAATTTTGATTAATCCCTTTTACAAATATATTTACGAAATCTATTTTTCAAGGTCTTGGCAATGAAGATTTTTCAATTTTATTTTTTGAAAATAAAAATTTCCAAATTTTTGAAATAGAAATTCGCTCTTACCTTGAAAGAAAAAAAATGTCGAACAAAAAAAGTTGATCTGATTGAACAGCATCGGAACTTTGATTCTCTGTAACAAAAGTAAAAATAAACAATTAGTTAAATTAGAATTTGAATTTGAATTAGAATTAAAATTTATATTACAATTAAAAAATTTTTTTTTATGTGGTAGTTTTATATTACAATTAAATTTTTTTTTTTTTATGTGTAGTTTTAGAAAAAAGGAGAATTAAAAAGAGAGCCCAAAAAGTCTATATATGTGAAAAGCCCATTAACTGAGTCAATGTGTCCATGTGTACACGTCTGTCCCGAGGCAATGTTTTTTCAATGTAAAAGGGGGGGGGGGGTGAAAGGTAGAGGGTGAAATCTTGGTGGTGAATAGACACCTGTTTTTTCACTAGAGAGACAGGAGACACGCGACTCACATCAACATATACAAAGTTTTCACAAATATGCATCTTCTATTCTACATAGAAAGTCGTGAGAACTTGAAAACGAGGTCGTTGACTCCCAACGTCAGTATTTCAATTCCGGGGGAAGTTGCATTGTGCAAATAAATTTATTTGATATACGAATTGTCCCTCAAGTCTTCATTTCAATATATATATTTTATTTTAAAATTCAAACTTTTGTCTTCATAATTGACAAAATATTTTATATTTATATTTTTTGTTTAAAAGAATTACAATATTTTTATTTGAAAAAGATACTTTTACAATTATTTTGACAAAAAAAAAAAAAATATTTAGTTTTTGTTGAAAGTTACTTTGTCTTCATACAATTATTTTATTGAAAAAATATTTTTTATTATTTATTTATTTATTTATTTATAATAATACACGGGCTGACACAAAAAAATTAAATTAAATTAAATTATATTTAATTTTTGTTGAAAATATTTTGATTCAGAGAATAAATTTGCCAAAATATTATTTAAAGAATTACGAAACGTAAATTTTTTTTTTTTTATAAATAAATAAGGAATTTTTTTTTTCTTAATTGGAAAATTTGTAGAAAGAAATTTATTTTTTTTTTAAATTAATGAAGTAAAATCAAAAGCAAATGAATAAATTTTGAAATTATATATATGTTTTGACTTCTTTTAATGGGAGGACATTGGCATCAAGTTGATTAAGAAATTGGTCGTCTTGAGAAGAGGCAAAAAGTAAATGTACAGGGGCAGTCTGGCTTCAATAATGATTACACTGCAACGATGCAATGCGCTTGAGTGCACCGGTGCACTAAATTGATAAATTTGCATGTCCCGACATCCTCGCACGCTCTCATCGTAGAGAAGCAATGTGCCCATCATTATCATCATCATCATCATCATTGTTCGTTCAATATTGTGTTAACGTTGCGTCATTTTAAAATATATACAGTCAACACTTTTTTTTTTTTTTTTTTTTTTGATTAACGTCGAGTATTTAATTCACATTTGAATAATTACAACATCCGGAAGTACTTTAATATTTTAAAAAAATCATCTTTTCCGCATTTTTCGTCTCCAATTCTCATCATTCTAGGAAAAAAAATTATATATTTTACAAAAATATTTTTTTTATTTTAAAAACAATACATTTCTGTATGTGGAAAGACTGATGTTTGAAAAAAAAAAATCTATAAATTTTGAAGAGGAAAAAACAAAGAACTGGTTTTTTAAGAAAGGTATACACGTAGGATTTTAAGTGCCCTTTAGAAGAGATGAAATCACAGTTGAAACTGCGTGTGACGTCACTTTACAATTTGCACCAATCCTGCATGACAATGAGCTTGTTCTCCGATTATGGTACAAGGTTTTTCTTATTACTATTCGTTATAAAAAAGGGATAGAAAAAACAAAATCTCGTTTTTATTATAAAAAATGCAAACGCGAGATTTAGAGAATAAAAAAAATTATTTTCAAATTCAAATTAAATTAACAATAAATAGAAATCGAAATAAATTACATTTTCGAATATTTGGTATTTTTTACCAAAATAAATAGAATAAAAAAAAATAAAAAACAATAAATAGAAATCGAAATAAATTTTTGTAAATAAAATAAATAAAAAAATTACATTTTCGAATATTTGGTATTTTTCACCAAAATAAATAGAATAAAAAAAAATAAATAGAAATCGAAATAAAAAAATTACATTTTCGAATATTTGATATTTTTCACCAAAAAAAAAACTGTTTCCTTTTTTCGCCTGTAATTGAATAACTTTTTGGGAACAAAAGCCTTTTAGAAAAGCAATTCTCGAGTGAAGAAGAAGAGGAGAAGAAAGGTTAAAAATTCGCCTTTAACTTGACACTTCATCGACACGTGCTTTTAGTGCAGTAAAGTGCATTGCAGTTTCATAGCGAGAAGTGTTTGCTTCCGGATCAAGTAACGTTAGATCGTTTTGAGACTTCCTGTCCACGGTTCCGTGACTTCCTGTTAATCGTCTTGACAGTCGTCTCAATTGAAAAAAAAAAAGAAAAAGAAAAATCAAAACACAAAAACCAAAAAAGAATTTCGAAAAAAAAGATTCCCCTTTCTTTTTGATATAGAAAAAAAAATATATATATAATTTTTCGGTGTCTTCCGGAATGATTAGTCATCAAAGTAGACAAGTTTCATCATCGTCTTTCTCAAGAAACGAATAACTTTTTTACATTACGCTTCTATTCAGATAATTTTTTTTTTTACAATAACCCGTTATAATATATACTTTCATACTTTTTTTTTAAACCAAAGCAATTGCTTCTTGGAAATGTACCCAAAAACGGTTCTTTTTAATCGAACCGAAATTTTTTTTTTTAGAATAGAACTCAAAACTCCAATTACAAAAAAAAAGAGAATTCAAAACCAAATTTGTAATTTTATAATAAATATTTTTAAAAAATTCTATTGCGAAGAATAGAAAAACAATTTTTTTTCTTTAAAAAAAAGGATAATATAAATATTCATCATTTTGTAACATTATAAATATAATTCTGCAATAATCCTTACAATGTAAAATTATACAACATGAGCATTTACGATCGAAAAATGGGCTTCCCAGTCTAAAGTCCCCTTTGACACTTAAAACCCAAGCTTAAGTCGACGCTGACGTCTGGCAACGAGGGGTTGTGTCGCGGTTTTGAAAAAAAAAATAATGAGTTTTTTTTTTCCTTACAATTTAAATCGTATTTGAAAAAAATCAGACTATAACGAATCATAGATAAATTTTTCTCTTGCTATAAATTTTATAAAAGATATAATTTCAATCCTCTCTCTCATATATATCTTTGCCCTCAATCTTGATAACTATTTAATATTTTTAGAAGAAGGGGGATAATTTTAATTCTCTTCCCTCTTTATTTCCACACTAATTACAGGTTTATTATATTTCTAATAGAAGAAGGAGTGTAAATGTGTATGGCCTTCTAAATGGAAGTTCAATTTACGTTCATATATATATGTTTCTAATCAGTGAAGAAGGAAGCTTAATTTGTTAGCATTCGATCTCACGTAAATTACAGATAAAACTTGAAAGGGGAAATTCACTTTATTATCGAGGAAGTATTCATGTAAACCTATCATAATAAAATATTTTAACAAATATTGTTTTTAAAAAGATATATATTATCAATAATAATTCGTGTTAAGAAAAGTAGAAAGTATAGAATAATTAAAAATGTGAAAATAGTAATTATTAACTGAGAATAATAATTACAAATATAAAAATAGTAGGTAATACTATGAAAATAGTAATAAAAAAATAATTATTAATATTCTAAAAAAAAATTCGAATTGTTTTACGAAGCTCAAGTATACGCAACGTTTATGATAAACGATTTTTAAAGAAACAATTTTTTAATTAATTAATTAATTAATCAACAAATTATTTTAAAAAAATAGTTTTAAGGCAAAAAAATTATAGAATTTTTCGCCCAAAAAATATTTCTTGTAGTTTTCATTAATTAACAAATTATAAAAAAATACTTTTTAGGCAAAAAATTATAGAATTTTTCATTTTAAAAAATTATTTCTTTAAAAATCGTTTATCATAAACGTTGTGTACTTCAGTTTTGTATTGTTTTCGGAAATACTAACGAAAGAAATAATTTTATCAGAAAATTGAAAAATGAATTTTAAACTAATTACAATTTTTTCTCTTTTTAGGAAAAGATGAAAATTTCCAAAAGAAAAATTAGAGAGAAACCTTCTTTTTTTCTAATCTCATTAAGGAAGCTTAAGAAAACGAGTTGGTTTATAATTCTTGATTTTTTTTACCTTTCTGTTTTTTTTTGTTCAAGCGATCCTGAAATGACTACTGGTGAATCTGTGGTTTCATCCTTAGCATTAAGTTAACGGTGTGGACCGTAACAGGAATCTCTTGGTCGTCGCCATCACGCGCGGAGAATGAAGTGTATATAACGATTATATATTTTATACACGAATATATATATATATAGAGAGAGAGAGAGAAAGAAGATGATAGGAACACCAAGTATACTTTCGTCTCTGTATATACTTAAAGTAAGTATACCGATGTAGACCAAAGAAGTCCAAGTCTTTGGATAATTAGATATCCTATATCATCTCTCACACAAATACACATATACGCGCATACCATGCGCTTACTTTCCGGAACGTTCATGAACCGCCCCCGTCATGCTCAGTCTATAAAAAACAAAAGTTTCTTTCAGAAAACTATATCAATTTGACAACTTACGGCAAATAAATCAAAAAATATTTCAAATTGTGATATTATAAAAAAATAAATGTAATTCAATAATTATCGAAATTTTTCAATTTAAAATTTAATTATTTACCAAGTTTTCAATTTAAAATGAAATAAAATTCAATTATTTTCTAAAATTTCTATTCAAAATTAATTATCCAAATTTTCAATCAAAAATGAACTTAAATTAAATTATTATCCAAAATATCAATTATTAAAATTCAATTATTTCCCAAAATTTTCAATTCAATTATTTTCCAAATTTAAAATTAATTAAAATTTAATTATTCTCAAAAAATTTGAATTCAAAATTAATTGAATTTTCAATAATTTGAATTTAAAAGCATCTAAAATTTAATTATTTCTAAAATTTTCC